AATTTCGACCCACCGATTTGGTAAGAGATGATGTAGATAAGTTATTCAAGATATTGGTTCTCGGCAGCTATCTAGACGAAAAAAGTGTTCCAAATTATCTAGGCTTTGTATCATCATATATTAAAGTATAATTGAAATTTTGTTTCTATTTGATGGGAAAATTGGTTTTGAATATCTGGTTAAATATGCCATCACCTTTTAACTCGTAGCTTGGCCCCAGAGCAGATAATCTATTAAAAGGTCGATCCGAGAGAGTTACGATATACCGCTCTCAAGTAAGGGTTACTTTATTTTATTTCTTTTTTTTTTAGCAGTCGTGTACAATCCTTCCTCAAACATTTTGTTTTTATATAGGAAAAGAAAAGTCGAAGGTAGAAACCGTCTTTATCGTAACATGCAAGGAGTTAACCGAATGGCGATGAAATAAGACATGACAGATAATCGTCAAGCGTGACTGGTGATCTTCAATTTATTCTAAGCGAATGATGCAGAAATGCAAACTACATTTACCACGGAACATTGATTTTTTTTTTTTTCTTTGAGAATCTAAATGTGTGAAAACTACTACAATTTTGTGAATTACTTGGAATTATGATCTTTTGAGAATTAATTTATTTACCTTTAAATTACAACTCTCATTTCGACATGCCTTTAATTCTGTTTTGTATTCCGCAAAGCATTTATCATTGCTATCAAGTGCTTTAAGAAATTTTAATTAATAAATTTAATAATGAATAATAATTCGAAATATATTGGTACCTTTAAAATTTTTTTATACTGTACACAGTATATCATGTATCGCATCATTTAATAATTGTTACAAATAATCCGTTTTCGTTGTCTCATTGAAAACTACATAAAAATCAATATTAAATACAAGTGAAATTAGTGTCAAGTAATCATTCGCCTAAAATAAATTTCTTCTAGGATGCGATTGGATATTTACTTGTGAAGTTTATCCGTTTTCGCTGTCTCATTGAAAACTACATAAAAATCAATATTAAATCCAAGTGAAATTAGTGTCACCTAAAAAAAAAATTTCTTTAGGATTATATTTTTATTGATTAATTTGTACTTGTGAAGTTTATCCGTTTTCGCTGTCCCATTGAAAATTACATAAAAATCAATGCTAAAACCAGTGATCGATGTTTCAAGCAATCGCACACGATATTGTAATATAAACAAGTAATGTTTTTTGAGAACTGGTGATAACGCGAATTTATATTTAAAGAAATTATCAATAGGCCGATAAAAGTCAATTGTAACAATTAAGAAAGTTGAATATTATTTACAATGACAAAATTGGAATCACTATTGAATAGATTAGCGCGAGGACTTTTCACGAAAACTATTTAAGATCACATTTTTTAGATTTGATGCACGCAACGAAAATGAGAATAAATTTCTTTTCAATCTTTGCAACCTACGTAATATTCAATGGTGTTGTTTTCCAGGTTGCATTTGCAGATGATGGAGGAAAATATAATCCATTTAATGATTTCTACTCTCTCTTACTTACCGCACTTGTGCCATTGGTCTCTGTGGTGCTTGAGAAGAAAACTGGCGAAGAGGATTCTAAAATGCATTGGAAAGTTATAGATGATACGATCTTTTTCTTTAGCATTCTACTGTGTCCTTACGTAAATGTTATGGCGAATTATGGCAATATATCAAGAATTGTGTCCTCTATCCTCCTTTTCATTGGAATTGGAATTTTTATTCGTTATCTTAAAATGCACCATAAACCTGATAAAGAAACCAATGCAAGACATTTGACATTTTCATTAATTTTATTGACCGAATTGGCATACTGCTTAATTGTTACTTTTGAGAATATTTTTCCTCTTCCACACAGCATGAACGAACTCGTTGAGAGTTGTGGTGAAAAATTCGGATATGGTGCATGCATATACTCATTCTTTTCAACATACGTTATGTCTATATTCGTATTGGTGGTATTTATAGGAAACAAACTGGGATACCGAATCAAGTGTTATGGCAACGAAGACGAACATGAAAAAAATAAATTTAAAATAATTAGCGGAAGATGATAGCTTTATTTATGTTTTCGGTCATTTTAAATAATTTCATGATTTCAGCATTACCACTTAGCGAAAGTCTTTTATGTAACATACGGAGTTGGATCCCTGGTCTTAATATGCTTATCACGACCAATTAGCATATACTGTATTTTCTTAAAAATGATAATGAAATCAAAATCGAAGAAGGAAGAAAAAAAAGACAGCCTTCATTAATATACAAAAATCATCCACGTGTAATTATTTATATTATTCTTAAATAAATTTATTTTTTAAATTCTATATTTTAAACCAAACCATACCTAACAGTCGGATCTTATTTCCGGCATATACTGTACAATAAAAAGAGTCATAAATACAGTATATACTGTGTATGGGTAGTTAAATAAAAAATACATCGTATAATTAGAAAGTCGAAATC